CCCTTCAGCCGCCCCGGCCTCGGGCGTCTGCGTTTACGCGAGGTTTCTGACCCTCACACCGTCTGTCGTCGCCCTAGCTTCCCAGCCTGCCCTTCCTCTGGAGCTAGTGCTCCTTCCCAAAGCCCTTGGGTCCTGCATAGGTGCCTGCCAGCCCCTTCTGCTGTGGTTGGAGAGAGACACCCAACCCCTGTGCTTTATAGGAACTATAGGTGCTTTTGTCCCGGTCCGAATAGGGATGTTTCTGGCCCTCCCAGCCCTCTGCTGTATCTGCAGCCCAAATTAGAACTCAGCAGTACCGTACACACGCATATGGGTGTCTAGAGAGGAATACCTGGCTTTTCATCTTTCCATCTGAATTCTTTTCACTATTACGCACAGCTTTGATTTTTTTCCCACAATTGTTATAAAGGCCAGTTTTGGAGTGAGGGTTAGAGTGGTAGGAGATACAATACTTTCTTATCTTCCCGTGCTAACTATTATCACTGTATTTATGGCTGTACAAAAAGAAAAAGCGCTCAGCTTAAGTGAACCTCCAGCACTAGCCAAGGTAGCTCTTGTCTGCTTTCTCATAAAGATGAACAGTGTAAAATTTCCTGTTACCCCAGCTCTTGGGAAGCACTCAAGTATATCTTTGGCAGCATATTACCACACGAATCTGAACTGAGTGTAAATCTGGAATGTTTAAGCTGATGCTTTCGTAAGAATTGGATCAAATTTCAAGCAGCTTTTTTGTAAAGCAGACTGGGAAATTGTCAGTCGCAAAAGCAAAGCTTGTAATGAATTCCATAATACTGTGCTCCCAGAACTCATTTTTTCCTACCGCATTATGCTGTGGATAGCTGTTGTCTCCTCAACAGCTTTTTTTGTACAGCTGTTTCAAACAGTGGTTAAGTTTAACACACTAGGTTTGGGCTCTTGACTCTGATAGTAGTGGAAGAAGGGAGATGATATGGCTAGTCTAGATACTGCCTCTGGGACAGAGACAGATACTGATTGAAATTAGCAGGGGATTTTGAACACTGTGACTCTAAAACAGCAGCGGTCTTGTTATCATGTACCAAGAGGCTTTACACTATGGTTTATGCCTTTTTAAGTATGTTAATATGTAAATCAATAGAGAAACATACTTACATTTTAATTAAGCTTTAAATTTAGCATTCTCTTGAGATGAGTGCTTGTTGGAGATAGTGCAGCGAAGTCTGGGGGAGGTCATCTAGTTGCAAGGTTTTTAATTGCATCTGATAATGGCTATGAAGTTAATCTTTATTTTTTTTTAACTGTGAACTTGGGTTCCGAGACACACTTGTATGCTAGTTAATAGAATCTGAGGAGATAATTGCTATGATGGGTATATTCTTAAAATTTATACTAACAGAAGTCCACATGATTTATTTATTGCTCTAGGGAAGAACCTCAAATCACATGCAGCAGGCCTTACATGTTATTAAATTGCATGAGAAAACTGTTTCCTTCTTTAGTGTATTAATAGATTTCATACTGGTCTGGTCCTCTGACATCCCCTATGTCTTTAAATTTGTGGACGTGACAATAGCTCTTTTACCAAGAACTCATGAGTTCTATCAACAGTCCCCTCCTGTATCAGTCTGCTATTTTGGGAGGCAAACAGCTAAAGCCTGTGCCTCTAAAATCATCAGATATACAAAATAGCGCCAGAAGATATTTTAAGTTATTTTTCTCATGACTGCATCATCTTTATCTGTAGTCGTTGGGGGGTGTGCGGTGTTGGGTAGAGCTTTTAAACAAAGCTTATTCCCATGTCACGTACCCTAAAGCAGAAATCTGGGGATTTGATTACCATATAGAGGCTTTTGAAGAGATTGCACTTCAGTTAGAATGTTCTGAAAGCATAACCAGAACTTTTATACCATCATCAAGGTGAAATACTTTTATTGACTTGATATGGTGTCTCACTAGAGTGGTAGTTCAGATGCCTCATGACCCTGTCTTGAATATTGCTGTGAGCTTAGTTGCAAAAGAGGATGAGACTATGGGCTGGTTAAAATACAGTTTCCGTGACATAACAGCATTTTAGTCTGAATATTTTTGGGATTAAGTAAAAATATTTTGGTTTGTTTGGGTTTTTTATTTTTTGGGGGGGGGGTGGTGGTGGTGTTTGTTTTGGGTGTGGGGTTTTCTTTGGGGGGAGGGGGGAGTTGTGGTATTTTAACAAGTATGTAGCTTCTTGAAAAAAAACATATTTTCTGTGCCTCCTTCCCCACCAAGTCCTTTGTCAACCATCTACCCTCCCAGTTCTGAGAGTGCTCATTCTTCAAAAACAATTTACTACTAGCCACAATAGAAAACAAAAATAGATGTCCATATGTATCCTCTTTACTTGTTTCTTTCCTAGGTGTGTACTTCATTTGCAGACACTGAACTGTCTTGTACTGTACAGACATGTCTAGAAAAGTATCTGAATTGTTGTCATATTATATAAGTTTTTGTAGCCTGCTGAAACAACATTTTTTTCACTTTCAGTAATTAAAGGAATTGTTGTATGTGTTTCATAGTTGTACTTGGTATATCAAATCATATTTTGTCTTAAATATGTTTTAAAAACTCAGCTTTTATAGTTACAATAATTTATTTACTGTCATTACTTTCATTATTGTCATCTTTCAAAGTAAATCTTAGTCATAAAGTTTCTGTACTGGTAAAGGAAAATTCTCCCTGGTTTTGCTATGTTTCAGTTTTGTATTTGTGCATGCTTGTTTTTCTCTAGATGCTACAGAGAGACGTGGTTTTGCACAGCAGAAGTGAAAACTGTATAGTTTTGTGATAAAAGTAATGAGGACTTGCTTTCAGTATGCTTTAGTGGGCATTTAAATTTTTCAAATGATCACTAAAGATTTTGTTTGCTCTTTAAATAGCAAAGGTGTAGGGATAAGGGAGAGGCTGGTCCAAAGGTCGGGGTAATAACTTGGGACTAGACAAGCAGTTTCCTTCTCCTGTTGCAAATTTTTGGAGTATTGTTGGGTGAACCACCTTTGTGCTCTAGCTGTAGATTTGGTTTAATAGTACTATTGAAGTTTGTAAGGGCATTGTGAAGACAGAGCAGTTGGAGACAGACGTGTGTAAGATCCGGAAATGGAAACTATTTTGTCCTGCACCTCCTGTACTTGCCTGACATCTTGCTTCCCGGTACTTGGTAGGTGGTGCTCTAACTTCTACTGTATGGACTCTTGCTCAGTAGCATGGGAGAAGAGGAAGGACTACATCAAACACAATTACTGGTATGTAATATTTTGCTTCTTTAATGAAGCCGTAATCTAATATTTTGTGCAGTCTCAGGAACAGGGTGACAACTGTTTTTATGATGTGAGATACTGATTGTGAGTGTTACAGCAAAAAATCCAGTGAGTCCTGTGGAAGGAATACCTTTCAGAATCCATAAGCATTTTTTCCTCTGCTTGTACACACCCAAGTGTGTGTGATGTATTAGGTTTTCAAGTTTTCTGCTTTGTTCTGTTCTTCTGTTGGTGTGCCTTAGAAGGCATTTAAATGCCAAATAGTAGATGTATGAAAACCGGCTCAACAGTCAGTTGAAGTTTTAATTATTCTTCACAAGAATATAAGTTGAAATAGAAGAAGCTTCAAACTCTGCACGAAGTGTTTAATATTTGATGACATAATCATACACAGTCAATTAGTAGTACCAAAAGATGTCTCTAGAGGTCAAGTTTTACATGGGGGGAGATGTGTGTGTGTGTGTGTGTGTGTGTGTGTGTTCAGAAATTACTGTACATATGACTTTGGAAAATTAAATGGGATGTCCTCCAATAGGAGGCTTGATGGAAAAGGCATTATAAAGTAAAAATTTGGGTTGTATTTAATGGGAATAATACAAATATGTTAGGTTACAGGAGAAAAAATTGAAAGAAACTTCCAAAGCATTTAATGTAAACCGTGGATAAGTTTTGAAAAGTCTATGAAAAATGACCATAAGACCAAGTCTATATGTAGTCTGTGCATATTATGAAGTCTGCATATTATGATTTCTGAGGAGTCTTGTACCTTTAGTGGAAAGAATCTTCAAGAGTCAGAAAATCCAAAAAAGGTTAGTCCATGGATACACCCAGAAATGTATGAAGCGTTGTACAGAGTCAGACCAAATGTTTATCTAGCTACTGTGCTATTCCCCAGGTTTTCAGGGTAGATAAGTATGTAATGTAATTTGAAAGGAACAATGTTGTTACACTTTGGTGGATTTTTGATGACTGAAAAAGCTGAAAGAGCTCTCTGAAAATATGTGGAACATACCATAGCAACCAGAAAAGCAAGGCAGAGGTTATGGCTCGCTGAGGGAAATGGAAAATTCTACAGAAAGACACTGCAATAGTATTTTGGGTTTATCAGCTTTTAGTTGAAAAACTTTGTTTTGTTTGAGTCACTACATTTAAAAAAAAAATTCCCCAAATAGTGGCCAAACAAGAATTCTAAGCACAGAAGACTTAGAAGGGACATAACAAAGGTGAATAAATGTAAAGATCAGGTCCTAGCTTTCATTTTCAGCCTAATTTTTAGAAGACTAAAAGCAGTGAGGTCTACTACATTTAAAAAAGAATAAATAGCCTCTGTATTTCAAGAGATCGTCTGCTGTATGTACGTGGGGCAGTGTTGCCAAAATTAGTGCAGACCAGAACAAGACCTGGAGGCTAGTGCTTCACAGTTATACCTTGGGAAATTCAGCAAGTGATTTTTAAGTGAGGTGTGAATAATGAGAAGCCTGCATGCACTCCACTTTCTAGCTGGTGAATTTAAATTAGGAATACAGGGATTTTGCCTTCTTAGAGTTGACGGCGAAAGAGGTACAGAAGCCCATAGAGAGGGTGGCTGTGCCTATCCCTAGGCACTTGCACAATTCATGTTGGAATTACACAGTTAATTTACTCACTTGAGTAAGGGAACCAGAAGGACTGCTTTAGGCACCTCAGTTGAATGTCTTGAGTTCTATGGAACAAATCTAGATCTTACTCTCTCTGTAGAGAAAATAAGCTAACCTTTTCAAGTATGCTGCCCATTCTGTTTTTTTCATGTTCCTCTGTTAGGCATGTTGATGTTCTGGAGGGTCAAAAATTTTGAAGATGGTGTGCCAGGTTGTATTTTTATTTCCAAAATTAGAGGTTAAGCATGCCAGTAGAAACTCAGGAGGAGCGAGGAGAAGCTGCCTCTCCAGTAGGTGAAATACAGCCGTTGAGATGTTTGCTTCTGTGCGAAGCAGTGGCTCCTGACTTCCATCAAGTGTGGAGCTTAATGGGAGCCAGGAGCTGGGAGCCCCTGCCACTCTCCGATGCCATGACTTGTGGACCTGCTCACCCCTGGTTCCCGAGTGCCGTCTTTGGGACCCAGTTCGTATGTTCCTGACCCCTGTTGTACCACACTGGCCATTTTATAATCTGGTATGACAATTCTGATGTTTCTATTTTAAAAGAATTTGCTATTTAAGATGATATTTTTATGTTTTGTTTTTCAGTCCTTCCTTACCCCTCTTGAGCTGTTTACCTGGTTTAAGAATTCTTTATTTTTTTTATTTTTTTTATTTTTTAACAGGACACCATGTTTGTGCGAGGATTAAAGAGAAAATGTTTTGATGGCGAAGAAGACATTGAAGGAACTCTGGCTGGTATTAAGGCTATTCCTTCATATAATCTTCAGCGGCAGTCACTTTTAGATATGTCCTTGGTTAAACTTCAGCTGTGTCACATGCTGGTTGAACCTAACCTTTGTCGTTCGGTACTTATAGCCAACACGGTACGGCAGATCCAAGAGGAAATGACTCAAGATGGGACTTGGCAGATGATAAGTACACAGAATACAGGGCAGGCATCCCTGGATCGTCTTGTTTCAACAGATATCCTTTGTCGTTCATCTAGGGAACAAGCTGAGGGAAAGCACGTTCCAGGCTATAGTACTTTCAATAAGGACTTTGAGGGTGATCAGGGACAAGATAATTCAGAAACTATGTCAACAGCTTCTTCAGTGCAACCTCCAAGAAACCTGCAGAGCAATGTGTGGGAAATGGAGAACCCACAAGAAAATAAAGGAAACTTTCAAAAATCATTAGATCAAATATTTGAGACACTGGAGAATAAAAGTCCTAATTCTGTTGAAGACCTGTTTTCAGAAGTTGACAACTCTTACTATGATCTTGATACTATGTTAACAGGCATGATGAGCAACACAAAAATGGGACACTGTGATGGGCTGGAAACATTTTCTTCTCCCACATCTACAGCTTCTAACTCTAATTGTAAATCTGATCTTAATGAGCTTGATCATATTGTGGAAATCCTTGTTGAATCCTGAAACTCCTTATCTAGGAGCTAAAGGTCTGTTAATGGGAAGAAAAGACTTGAGAAAGCTATTTCCACAGTTTGTTCTATCAAATCTGCACGTGTATTTTACAAATATCTATATATTATATAGATATATATATTAAAAAGCACTTCATATTGCAAAATAGTGTTAACTCTTAAAGTTAACTTGCAACTTGTAGTGTAATAATCCAATCTATTGTCCATTGAACTGTAAGTAGATACGGTAAATGTGTTCTAAGTTTTTTGGTCCAAGGCTCTTGAAATTGGGATCCTTTTACCAATCCTTTTAGCCTTTGATGGAGGATATGCTCAGTGAGAGGGATTCTCTCATCTTTTTCGTACACTTCATCCAGTAAATGGTAATAAACGGAGACAAGTTGGATAACTGGTTTCCTATTTTCCGCCAGTTTCCACTTTGTTATACCACAAAACTCCTACCATATCTGCTGCTTCTAAGTCGCTTACATGGCTCTTAAAGAGCAGTATGCAATAGTTTGTGTTATCCTAGCTAGCTTGTTCTGGGTTTTGCTACAATTTTTACTTCAAAAATAGTTTTAAAGTGTTTATTGGTGTTTAGATTTTCCAGGTATTTTCCTAAAATATATTTTTACTACAGATGTTATATCAGCTGCTAACTTAGTAACTTTTGATCATACCTGCAGTTGATGTATTTTTTGAAAGGTTTTCAAAAAGGGATGGTTTTTTTTACTGTGAGCTACCCAATGTAGTTCAGTAAAGTGTATGTAAATGTAAATATGATTTTATACTTTACATTAAAATGTAAGAGCTGTTTTCATTATTCTGTTTTATAGAGTAGTACTTTACTAAATTGAGACTTGTACAATTATGCTTTTCACACCACATATACTTCAGTATCGTTAGAAGAGCTTTGATCCAGCTAGATACAGTTAATTCACTTCAGACCATACTTTTTGTTAACTATAAACCTAAATTACATCGGTTTTTATTTATGTATATTTATATGTAAATGTCATCAAGTGAATTGTTTATCACTGAGGTCTACCATCAAATATTTGTTTATATGGGTTAACTCTCTTGCACTAATTACTACAAAAAAGTGTTATTAACAGCTTTTAAATCTCAACTGGTATGTCATGATGTCTTGTCATAATTAATATGCTCCACTCTTACCAAGGGTTTCCTCTTGGCTTATTTTAATAACAAAAGATAATACAACATGGGACAGTGTTCTTTTCTTTAAGTACTCACATTCATTGTAAAGTGTATATAATTACGGTTATTCCTGTGAGACATTTTCAGGGGAAAGGGATTGGTCACGCACAATGTATGGTTTTGTTATAGAACGACAAAGGTTTACCTTCGCAAGCTGGTACTGGGGAAGAGCCCCAAAATAGAAGTGATGTAGACAAGAATGTTTCTGGAAAGTGTTAGCAGTCATTGTGCTAACACAGGGAAAGACACCTGCTGGTAACTTTGTAGTTTTCTGTAGTCTTGAACCAAGCAAGTCGCTGAAGATGAAGAGTAGCTTTCTGCATCTGACAGGCTTTGCCTTCTTACAAGTGACCTTACTTCTACGTATGATCCTCTTTGGATTCTCAAACCCTTAAAAAGGGGAGGGTGGGGGCTAGGGGGCACTAAGGGCATTTGGGGCCCCCATCATAAGAAGGACATGGACCTGTTGGAGCATCCCCATAGGAGGGTCATAAGAATGAGAGATAGATAGATATAG